ATGCAACCTTAAATGCTTTTACTAGCATTTCTACCTTAATTAATAAGTATAACAAGTAGGAGAGCAAAGTTTCTGTTAACATTAAGGGTGTTAAAGTTGTTAGTAATTAGATTAGTGTTAGGTAAAATATTTTTAATAATTTTATTATGTAGAATAATAAGCTGTACAACTTAAACAATAAAGAGACTTCTAAAAGCGCTTATAAGTACAGCAAAAAGCTTAATTATAATAAGGTCCTACTAAAACTCTTTAACACACAACATAAAAAGAATGTTAAGGTTAGCACTAATAAAGGCAGCTTTACTTTAATAGCTACTACAGCTGCGCTCCTTAACAACCTAGAGACACTTACTCCTGCTAGGACTATAGTAGGAAGGATGCAACCTGTTACGCTAAAGGATAGGCAGTTCTTTTTAGAGCAATTAGGCTTGTCTAGGCAGCTAGCGCGCCTTAAAGAAGCACTAATTAATGTTAACATTAAGATGCTAGATAACAATAAGCAGCCTTTTACTACACCTAGCAAAATTAGTTGTACTACTAAGGCTAGTAAAAAGAGAGCTAATGTAAAGAAAGGTAGTAAGAAGAAGCCTAGCAAGAAAAAGATAAGCAGTAATAAGTGTAAATAGACAGCTAATAATAAGTTAAGCCCTAATACTCCTAAGCCCTAGCCTTAGCCCTAGTCTTGTCAAGCAGCTAACAATATGCCACCTACTAAGGACACAGAACTAGTTAAGCTTAGTAATAATAACGTAGCTAACCCTAACAATACAGCTAATAGAAAGGTTAAGAAGTCTACTAGTAGTGCAGGTTAAGGGGGGCAGGGTGGAGGCAGTAGAGGCAATAGAGGCATTAGAGGCAGCAGAGGCAAGAGCTAGTCCTAAATAATAAATTAGTTATATAGCAGTGCGTAGAGACAGATTTAAGTTAGGTCTATGTTTAATTTAGTATAAGTTTTTTTGTCTAGTGTTAGTTACAGTAAGATACCTAAACATAACAGTCTAGCATAGTTATTACATTAACCTGTATGCATGCTAAGATAGATTTTTATATTAAATACTCTCTTTTTAGATGTATTATGCTATAGGAATCTATAAAATAGCTTACAATAAATGTTCTAATAAGCAATGTAATAGCAGAAGACATTAAGTTGCAGGGAAGATACAGGTTATGTATGCTAACATTGCCTAATCATGTCTAACCTTAACCTAGTTCTATGTAATTTCTAGTAAGGTGGGCGTATAGTGTAGACTGTAGAACTATCCTAAGAAGCTAAGGGAGGGGGGTTTTTAGCATAAGTACTAGTACCTATCTGTAAACCCCCCTATCTCCCTATCTCCCTGCGACTGCTGCGGATCAGGCCTTGTTCGTCTCGATTGGGCATCGCGCTGGATCCGACCCCCTTTTCGCTCCTCTTTTTGGCCTAGATTGGTGGACTTGACCATGGCGCCACCTATTACAGTATAGCGTATAATTGCTCCTTTGTGTGAAAGATAGCTGCTTCCTCCCTTGTTCCCCTAGCTATTGCTAAGACGCAGGTGCGAATGCAAAGAGGAACCTATCTAGAGCGCATCTTTCTTAACAATATCTACTGCAATGCCTCTCAAATACTGCGCACGCAGGCATCGCGCGCGCATTGCCGCACCAGC